CCTATTTTTTAGTTTATTTCTAGTACAAAACCAGAAAATATTTCAAAAGACACCAGTTGAAAACTTTGGCTGGGGAAGAATTAAGAAGGTGGCCAATTTTATGCTAAGTTGGGCACCATGATGGCAGAGTCTTCCCTTGTGGGCTAGGAATTGCATTCAGGTTGGAAATTAATTATTTCCTTTGGTGCATTCTCCATACTTTCATTCTCTTCTATCATATCAGCACCCTTCACCCCACCAAAACCATAAGAATTGCTTCCTGTTGCTTTTAACACAGTTTCCAGATATTTCATCTATACATTTAATAGAATATTTATAATATCTAATAGCCAATACATCGTGTTCTAAATCCTAAAATTTCCTTAAGATAGAATTGTAAGATTTTAAAAAACAATTTTTTACTCCATCAATTATATAAACTTTAAGCTCATAGTAAATACTTAAAATGAAATTTTACTATGTATTTGAACCCTCCCATTTAAGAACATATGTATTAAACATAAATAATAAAATTATCTTAACATATGGTCTTGAGGCTTCATATTCTGCTATCCAGACATAGAGACTATCCATCACCTCAAAGAATTTCATTGTGATCCCACCTGAATGCATCTCATACACATGCTCGTTTCAAAATCATTAGCTTCATTATTTTCCCCAAAGATCTTAATTAGAAGATCCTTTGTCTTAGTTGTGGATGAGGAGTTTGAGGTTGCTGTAAGCTAGGCTGACGCCACGGCACTCTAGCCGGGGCAACAGGGCAAGATTCTGTCTCAAAAAAAAAATTAAAAAATAAAAAAAATAAAGATGTTATTTCAAATAACAGCAGTAGATATTTCTTTCAGGCTTCTAGCTGCAGCCATCAATTACATCAGTAATATTCTTACATAAGATTCTGTTGTGGTCTAGTAAAACAAAATAGAACTCTGAATAAATAGGAAAGTTTCCTCTACTTTTTTTTACTACTTTTGCAAGATTTCTACTATGATGCATTACGGAAAAGAAAGTAATAAAAGTCACATGCTAGGGTACACACAGATTATAAAGCATATCAGGAGCCCTTCTGTCTTTATGTTGCTTGTTTAATTTTATATAACCATAGAAACCAAGCCACGTCACATAAATATTCTACCCTAAGTTTGTCTGATATTACATTTTTTATTAAACTTGGGTTTATGTAACTTGAACAATACTTCAAAGAAGTTCTGAACAGAGAACAGCCCTGATAAATTTATGTCACTGCTAATTGTTGGATTTAATTATTTTTAAGATTTTTATATTTCAGAATGCAATTTAAAGCAGAAAAACTGCTTAAAATAAATTTACACTTCATAAATACAAATAAGGAATAGCCTGTAAAGAATATGAAGCCCAGTAGTCATTACAAATGCTTGTGTATATTTTAGAAACTTCAAATTCAGTTTTGAAGATGCTAATTTGAAAATACCAGATATGCAATTTTATCAATGTGATTTTGAAAATACCAGATATGAGATTTTTATCAACATCAGCTGCGATTTTAACCAAAACATCTCAGTAAGAGAAAGTTAAACTGGCTGTAAATTGGGACAGGACAATATAAAAAAAGTAAAGTGACCAATTACAGTTGATAAATTCTTTTAATTTGGGGACTGGTGTGCTAGCATCCTCAACTAAAGAAAAAAGAGCAAATGGCACAGCTGGATAATGCTGCCAAAGGGTTAACATTTGCAAACTGAGGACAGAGGTGCCATGCACCATCACCATGTATTTTTCCATCTTAAGCAGCATACCACTCCTAAATAAAAAGAATCATTTTGCTGACCCAGCTCTGAGTGTTTATACAGTCCAGAAATATGTGTCTTGGCTCATAATCCCATTCTCCTTTTAAAGAAACCCAATGACCACAGTTTTCATCCTAAAATACTATAATAACCCAGAGAGAAAAACTTTAGAACTGGTACCAAGTCAAATCCATGGGTTTAGCACGATTTTAACAAATGCTTCAAACACATTATAGCAGAGATAACCTAAATAGAACAAAGCCTTGCAGTTCTCATTATTTATGTCCAGGGTGAAATGACTGCAGATAGACACGCAGCCTGTCCACTTACTGGCCTGCCATGGTCTCCGGGTTTTCCTGGTTTCCCACTCGGTCCTGTGACTCCTGGAGAGCCTGGGCTTCCCTATAACACACAAGCAGAGAAAGGAAATGTTATGACAAAGGGAAAATCCCATCTAAAGTAAATAACAAAGTACAGCCTGTTTTAAAAGCTTTTAAAAGAAATAACACATAATGACACATTAAGGAAGAATAAAACCAAATTTTAAGATAGTAGGAAGGAAAAAATCTTGAAAATTCCAATTCAATCTTGACAGGCTGTAAAATTCTAA